AAAAAAAAAAAAAAAAAAAAGACACTGACCTTGAAGATAGGAGCCCTGGTTTCAGTTTTGTAACCTTAAGTGAATCTCCATTTCCTCACGAGTAAGACGGAAATACTACCACTCCTTGCCTTGCAAAGCTCTTGTCAACGTGAGGGGCGTGTGGCGGGTGGGACACATTCTGTATTCTCGTCTTGGAATTTCTGCTGTTCCCAAATGCTCGCCCTGTGTAGCCTTCGGTGGCAGGCGTGGTGGCAGGTGTGTGGTTTATAGGAACAGGCATCTGTATGGGACACGCATCTTGAAATCTCACAGACAGGTGAGCTAGGGTTTGGCAAGGAAGCTTGCACCAGAAAGCGACTGGAGTTTACTTGTTTGGCAACGGCACTTAGTAAGTAACTCGTCAGTAAGTGTTGGAGAATCTGAGTGCTCCGGATGCTCTCACCTTTGGCTTAAGAAGAGAGTTAGACGTGACAGATTTCCATACATCTCCTTGGTTCTCTTTCTCTTTCGATGCCACACCAACCAAAAACCGTCTTCGGTGAGTGTCCTTTCAGTTCTGCTTTGCGGCCATCCGAGAGCCGGGAGGTGTTGCCCAGGGGGTGAACAAAGTGAAGCAGAGAGCTTTATCTTAGACCAAAATTGAATTGTGATATGGGGGGTGTGAGGTAGCACCTCTTGAATGCAGCTGTCTTTCTCCTCTTAGCTAACAGTGCTTCTGGTCAGTATCTCACAAGCAAAATCCACACAACATGTTTGGAGACATTCGAGAAAGCTTTTTACGGGGTTCTTACCGTAAACGATAAGCGAAAGAACAAGTCACTGAAAACGCTGGTACCATTGGACATTATTTTTCTTAGTTTAAAAAATGCCGTCTGTATATTTCCCCAAAAGATTTGAGATAATTTCTAGAGGAACACCTGTAAAAGAATGATAACATAGACGTAAAAAATGAAATGTCAGGGCCTGGGAAAACGTAAACTGGTAACACTCCCATTAAGGAAATCACGGAACTCTGTCATGAGATCCTACACCAATGTTCTCGTTGCTTTGTGTATTTCCTCTAGGCTTCCTGGCAGCCAGGGTGAAAATGGAAATGTGCCTATTTTGGATACTACCATTGCTAATGAGAAGAAAATACATGAGCTCCTCAAAGGGAGCTCTAAAAGAAATTTCCACACAGAGCTGTAGATTAAGCAATATTGAGGGATGTAGTAGACAGTCCCCAGTTACATGCCTGTGACAAGTCCCTGTCAGGTTCCATCACATCTCCCTCAAAGGAAGACAAGCGTGTAACCTCCAAACAGATATCAGTTCATTCGAAGAGCCAAGATCAAGGGATCATCGTGTGTAGTTTTCTCAGTAGATCTGTGCTTTCCAATACGACAGCCACTAGCCACACATAGCCATTTACATTTAAATGAACTAAAATACAGTAAACTTAGAAATTCAGTTCAAGTCCACTAGCCACATTTCAAGTGCTTAACAGCCATATGCTGCCAGTGGCGACTTTATGGGGCAGCACAGTTATAGAAAGTTTCCATCATTGCAGAAAGTCCTCTTGGGCAAAACAGTGTCTCCAAGAGTGTCGGAAAGCAGGATAATTTTATGTGTGCTTAACCAGGTTCTAGAAAGACAGAGGCTGGACATTAACAAATCCTGCTGGGAGAAAGCCACTCCGTTTTCAGCTCTTCCACGGTTTGGGATTACCAGGGGGAGAAAGTCTTCAAGTGTTGACCTTGTGCCGTCCACACCCTTGAATCTTTCTGTTCGGCGGTGACAGGAAGGAGCAGACTTGAACTTGATCTTACTTGTTGTCTTGTTTTAATTGTGTTTAGTTTTTACATTTCCCTTCTAGTTAAGGCACAGAATCCTGTTTTCCATTTACCACAGTGATGCATTTTTTTTAAGTTTTTTTTTTTTTTTTGACAAGGGGGTGCATGGGGGAAGAGCAAAGGTCAGGTGGTGGGGGGAGGGAGAGAATCCCAAGCAGCCTGCATGTTGTCAGCCCAGAGCCTGATGCGGGGCTCGAACCTACAAACCGTGAGATCGTGACCTGAGGAGAAATCCAGTCAGACGCTTACTGACTGAGCTACCCAGGCACCCTGCATTTTCCTTCTAAAATAAATTTAAGAAGAAACAAAGAGACTCTGCTTGAAGAACAATGCTAAATAAACGATAATGCAAGCAGCCAGAGTTTGGGACAGTGTTATGTATTTGGGAAACACCGCGCTGAGGGAACAGACCGCTTGCAATAAAACAGTAATGGGGAGAATACTAACAAGAAGCCGTAGCAGCCGCTGCCTCTCGCTGGTGTGTGTGCATTATGTCAAATAGCTCATTGAGTCCTCAAAAGCACCCTGTGAATAAACTCTTCTTCTCCCCATTTTATAGATGAGAAAACAAAGGCACGGAGAAGCGTGGCATTCAGTAACATTTTTGGAGCCCAGATAGCATTTTCTCACAAGGTGCTGGTTTCCAGAGGTTCTAAGACTGAGGGTGAAGCTCTTTAAAAACCCAAGAGGCAATTGGGACAGTTGCCTTCAATCTGAAGGGAGGGGCCCGGCCTGCCTGGGTGGCCGCCCGCGTTTCTGAGAAGGTGGACCGCTGCAGCCCAGCAGGGAGTTTTCTCCAGAACTGCGGTGGCCACTGCAGGGCCCAGACATGTTACCCATCGAGCCCCCCGCCTCCACAGGCCGGGCCGAGACGGTCTTGCTTAGGGAAGTTGTCCGAGCAGGTGTTGGCGTTGGCTGCTCTGGCCGTGGGCGGGTTTCAGGGAAGCTCCTTCAGAGCTTCCTGTTTGGGCAGCGTCAGGGCCTGGAGAGCCTGCCCGGACGCCTGGCAAAGGTAGTCCTAAATGCCAGACGCGCTGAGATAGCCCACCTGATGCACGTGGTACCAATGGCTTTCACCGTTGGTGTGGCGGGAAGAGGTCTGGAATTCTATTTTGCGCACGGGGTTCTGGCAGGCGGGCCATCCCCGGACGGGGGTGAATGCAAGGTCTTAAAAAGCGGCTTGCGCCTTTGAGCGCCAGGATTTCCACGCTCTGTCCCCGAGTCCGAAACGGGGGCTGAGGGGTGTTCTGGCACTAGCAGGAAATGGCCGCGTTTGAGCAATCCTCAGGACAGAGGTAAAACGGGTGTCCAGAACCTTCCCAGTGGAAGGTTTGTGTCCGTGAATGTCTCTTATGCTTCTGGCCGCTGCTGATGCTGGGCTGCTAACAGACACCAGCCAGAGACACAGTGATTGAACAGCAACACGTGACCGGGAGCAACTATTTATTTCATTATATCTTCAATTTTTTTTAATGTTCATTTCTTTTTGAGGCAGAGAGAGACAGAGCATGAATGAGGGAGGGTCAGAGAGAGGGAGACACAGAATCCGAAATAGGCTCCAGGCTTCGAGCCGTTGGCACAGAGCCCGACGCGGGGCTCGAACTCACGGACCGCGAGACCCTGACCTGAGCCAAAGTCGGACGCTCAACGGACTGAGCCCCCCAGGCGTCCCATGGGAGAAACTGTTTAATAACTGGTTTTCTTAGTTTCTCTCTCCTTCTTCTCTCTGTGTTTACACAGCATTGTGCTTGTGGGCTCGGTTTTCTGTCACTTCCATATCATTTGTTGTTAGTCACTTAGCACCTGGTTTGTACCTTAGCAGTTGTTTGATCTTCTTCTCCAAGTACCCCCGCTTCCGAAGAAGATTGAGGTCCGCCGTCTTTAATATTCTGCTGTAGTGTTCATGAAGGCATGGGAGACCTTCAAACAACCTGCCTATTTTGTT